AAATCTTAATTCTTGAGTTTCTATATTACCAAAAACAGCTCTCGTAGGTTTGAATGCTGTCAAACTGTCTAAAACAGACTTATCACCAATGTCACCAGCATGCCAAATCTCATCACAGTCTTTGAAATGTTCGTAAACATTTGGATCTAAATAAGAATGTGTGTCAGAGATTAAGCCAATAAGAGCCATCTTAGTATTTGACTTTTATACCATGATATGTTTCTTGTAGTTCGTAATCTTTTCGCATCGGGAATCCCACCCAGTCAGCAGGTAAAAGAATTCTTCTCAAATCTGGATGAAGATTGAATTTCACACCAAAGAAATCAAAAATTTCTCTTTCGTGCCAATCAGCAGTTTTCCAAATTGAGCTTACACTATCAACCAGAGTATTTTCACTTAAAGACCTGTCTATTTGCACTTTAAGTATAACTGATTGCTCGTATGGAATAGATGTAAGATGGTAAATTAAATCAATGGTGCCAGCTTCCAATCCATTGTCTATAGCTGTAATGCAATTTAAATAGTCAAAATAAAGTTCAGAAGTTTTATAAAGGAAAGAACAGACAGGAATTAAATCTTTGGCAACCAAAATTATCTTTGGTTGAGAAGAATCTTTGCTTATTTGACAATCAATTCCAATCTCCTTTTTCAAGATTTCTACTATTTCAACTGTCCTATTAAAATTCATGGAATTAGTTTTTTTGAGCTAATAAAAACAAAACCGCCATTCTAACTGCTACTCCGTTCTCTACTTGATCTAAAATTATTGAATGTGGTGAGTCTGCTGCGTCTGAACTTAATTCTACTCCCCTATTTATGGGGCCAGGATGCATCACAACTATCTCTTTATCAAGCTCATCCAACATCTTTTTATTGATTCCAAAATACAAAGAATATTCCCTTAAAGAAGGAAAATATTTAAGTTGTTGTCTCTCTAGTTGAATTCTAAGCACATTAGCCACATCACACCAAGCCAAAGCATCTTTAACATTATCAAAAACTTGCACGCCCAATTCGGTCAAGTATTTCGGTATCAAGGTTTTAGGTCCACAAACCCTTACTTCTGCACCCAATTTTTGTAAGCAAAATATATTTGACAATGCTACTCTCGAATGCAATATATCTCCAATAATGGCAATTTTCTTCCCTTTCAAATCTCCGATTTTTTCTTGCATTGAAAAAGCATCTAACAGGGCTTGTGTTGGGTGTTCGTGAGTTCCATCTCCAGCATTTACTATATTGGCTTTTATCTTGTTAGAAAGAAAATGAGGTGCACCAGGGCTGCTATGACGCATAACAACCATATCAACCTTCATGGCTAAGATGTTATTTACAGTATCTAGCAAAGTTTCCCCTTTTTTGACAGAACTTCCTGCTGAAGTAAAATTAATGGTATCGGCTGATAATCTTTTTTCGGCAAGTTCAAATGAAAGTCTTGTACGAGTGGAGTTCTCAAAAAATAGATTGGCAATTGTAATATCTCGAAGTGAAGGTACCTTTTTGATTGGCCTATTAATTACTTCTTTAAATTCTTTAGCAGTTTCAAGTATTAAATGAATATCATTTTCATTGATATTTTTTATTCCAATTAAATGTCTGGTACTTAAAGAATCCATCTATGTTTGATAATTTTACAAAAGTAGTAAAATATGAGTTCTTAAAAAATCGAAACTTGAATACTAACTCAATTTGATTTAAATTATCTATTTAATTTCGAGAATAACTTTCTTTAAAAACATACTTTTATAATGCAAATTATTTTTATTTAATTCGATTTTGGAATAAATAGGTTTTCAAAGGTCCATCATTTCTTGCAAAAATCACTATTTGTTTTCCACCAGCAGTTTTGACTGTTGCAATATCTCGAACTTCACCATCTATATTAAAGCCACTAATATTGTTTTCTACTGTAGTAAAACCTCCTTTTCCATTACCGAGTAACAATGTACCTTTGCTGGCGTCATATCTTCCAAATTTCACTCTGGTTCCATAAAAATTCCCTCCTAATATTATATCAAGCTTATTGTCATTATTATAATCCTTAATATTGATACCATATATCGGTGCTAATTGTGCAGCAATAGGTAAAATATGAATCTTAAACTTTCCATTTCCTAAATTCTCTAAATAGCAAGTTGCAAATGTATTTGCCTTTAATTCAATAGCGTCTTTTAATTCACTAGCCTTAAACACTTCGGTAATTGTTTTATTCGCATATTCTGAATATTTCACAAACCTTGATTTCAAATAACTTAATTGAGAGCTGATGTCATCTTTTGAAAAGACTGGGTAGTTTGCTCCATCGCTATAAGCACATAAAATTGGATCAAGAGTACCATTATTATCAAAATCTTTTGCATAAAGCGATACTGGCTCTTTCAATGAAGCTTTGAGTTGGGAATTGAAACCAAAATTGCCCAAAACATAATCCATATCGCCATCATTATCAAAATCACCTTCTTTTATGGTGTTCCACCATCCATTTGTATCTTGTAATCCAGCTTTTGAGGTACTTTCAATCAATTTGTCATTTGAATTTTCAAATGTACGAACAGACAAAAACTCACCTACCACAATAAGGTCATTTTTACCATCATTATTAAAGTCACTCCATATGGCGTCAGTAACCATCCCTGGTGACATAAGACTAGGGCAAACTTTTGATGTAACATCTTTAAAATTACCTTTACCGTCATTTTGAAGCAAATAACTCCTTGGAGCTACTGGATAATTCCCAGGAACTAACCTTCCACCTGCAAAAAGATCCAAATCTCCATCACCATCATAATCTCCGGCTTTTACACACGATCCACTGACCAGCATTGCAGGTAAAGCTTCATCTTTTTTTATAAACTTACCTTTTCCATCATTAATATAAAGTCTATCTTGAAGTTCTTTCGAATTTAATTCTGCCTCGTCCCCACCACTAACTATGTATAAATCAAGGTCTTTGTCACTATCTGCATCAAAAAGTAAAAGACCCACATCTTCGCAGTTTTTATCTAAAGCAAATACTGAATTGGGTTGTTCTGCAAATTGCCCAGAGGAAGTTTGGAAATAATAAGAGGCGGATTGGCCTTTTGCTCCTCCTACAAAAACATCTTCGAGACCATCATTATTGACATCACCAGTAGCTATTTTGGGACCTTGAATTGAAAGTTTATGCGGTAACAAAATTTCACGGTAAAAATCTACAAATTCGTTTTCTTGGTGTTTGAAATTCCCTAATCCAGTTGATTGTGTTTCAACAAAATAGGTTTTGGTTTCTGGTGAAGTTTCCAAAATAGCGTTTTTGGATTCTGCCTGTTTCAGGGAAATAACTTGATTTGGTTTAACATTTCGAAGAATTTGTTGACGACCGTCTGGCCAGATGACCTTAAGTTCTTTCACAACATTTTCTTTTCCCAGGCCAAATACCAAATCATATGCAACCGAAGACTGAAACCCCCTTGTTGGCATAA